ATCACTAGGGGCTGTAGGGCAGGAGCAAGGATGAACTCTCACTGCAAAGGCCAGGATTTGCATGTTTAACCTCTGTTTGGTTATATGCAAAAATATTCAGAGAGGTTAGAACATACAGTTCTTGAGAGACTGCTCTGCCAAACAGGCTGAAATGGGTCACACCTTGGTGCAACTCTATGATACATCTGCGTGGAGGGGTGCAGGTGTCACAAACCAATGTTTTACCAGGAAGTTTAACAGCTGAAAACTGCAGGTTATATATTATTGGCAGTTTTTTCTTCAGCGATTATTTTCAAGAATCCTGAGTCAGCACCAATAACTGTAGGTACAAATATTTGTTGGTGGGATACAGTATCTTTGCTATGCTATTTACCTGTACTCCCCCAGCCCAAAAGTTTATATATGTATGACTAAGGCTGGCTTTCCATGGTGACCAAATACCCACTTGCCTCAAGTATTTTCAGTTGTCATTATTGTTTTAACTCTTAGCTCAATAAAAATTAGATTGTATGGTAGCAAGGAATTCAAGGGCAAAAGGCTAATTATTTCACTGCAGCTCAAGGATTTAACTTCACGTTAAAACCATTTATATGGTTTGCATCCAAGTGACAATGAAAAGCGTGGTAGAAGATGGAAGGTGCAGTCATACAAGCAAGCAAGAGGTATTAAATTAGTTCTTCAAGATCTTAGAAAACATGACCAAACACTTCTCAGCCAAAGCTGTGGCTGTTCCTTTGCTTAAGCTGACATGGTGATCCCATGAGTGACAAGGATTTTCATTAGCAGGCAGACGGAGGATGTATTTCAGTACTGGATTTTGGGAGGCCTTGATGATGATTTTGGGATGGTGTGCTGACTGAACCTTGCCAGAGCACAAAAAAAGGAGGAATAAAACAGGCTAGAAAGAGAAAAATGGGAGTGCAGAAGTGCTGTTAAAGATCAGCAGCCAGCTGCCATTCAGAACAGTCCTTACAAACAGCGGCACAGACTATAAACATCATTGTGAAAGAGCTGAGATCACACTTGCTGTCCTAATGAGTTACTGGCGTGAGAAAGTGTTCACCTGTATGAGCCAGGGAGCTGCTGTCTGACTTCCTGGAAAAAACCACGTAGGCTCATTTTTTCCATCACTGATTTGGTTATGTGCAGGCTGACACCAAGGACAGGTTAACAACATTCAGCAGTACTTGCAGGCCTGAGGAGGAACTGGTGCCACCAAAAACAGAGAGGGAGGAGAAAGCAGGAGTTCTGGTACACAGACTACAGCCCATGGGATTTCTCAAGGAAGTACAGTTCAGAGTTTACCCTTAAGGAAGTGCAGCAAGAGGTTAAAGCCCTGCAGGGTGTCAGTTTTATAGTCCAGCAAAACCCCATCTCTCCAGCAGTGCAGTGTCCTTTACCAGCTGTCTGGATAGCACTGACAGAAGATTAAGTACAACCTGTTTCAGGTTTGTCCACATTTGTGAGTCAGCTTTGGAGAGACAATTTCCTTATCCACAGAGCTCTACCCCCTTAGCTGGGAGGACTGTCAGGACAGATTGGTCTTGCATAGTGAAAAGAGCAACAAAGGGGAGGGGATCACACTATTCAGTCCTGTGTGCAATCCCATGTCAGACAGACATGGTGACAAGTGTAATAACAACCTAAAATACAAATTCTAAACAACTAGAGAAAGAAGGATAAAGTGACTCAGGTGTGGAAAACCCGTATTGGGCTACTTCAGCTGTATGTCAGCAGCAAAGTCAGAGCAGCTGTGTTTTGTGAAGTGTCCATTCTCTACCACATTCAGTGGAAAACCAGCCCCTTGTTACCTTCACTCATCAGGCCACTTCAACCAGAGTGGACTGTAGAACCGTAAGTCTTTGATCAAGGGTCACGCCTGCTTTCTCATTTTCTTCAAGTAGTTCTAGAGAGGAGTTGTTTTCTTCTCTTGAAGAGAAATTTTGTAGCTCAGCATTCCTGCACTTGGCCTCTCCTCTTTCAGTTTGCATGTGTGCTCATTTCAGTGTAATTTCTCTGGAGCATGTGATTCAGAATGGATGTGTTTGCAGTGTAGTGGAGGGAAATGACGCGTTCTCGTGATACTGGGAATGAGCGGCGGCGCTTCCTTTGAGTGCATACCAGCTTTCGGAGTGCTTGTAAATCATCACAAGGCCAGTCAATGGCGTATTACCTACCTCACTTTGCAGCGACTTATTTGAGTGATAAGAATGTGAGAGAGCAACTGTGTGACATAAATTCCTTCACTTTCCACAAAGCAAACCAGAGCCAGTTTTGGCTCTCCTTGCAAATTGCTGAAATAAGAGCATTCCACCTGCAAAACACCAACCTAACCAACAAACTCAAACCTCATTAGGCATGGGTCATTGAGTGTCATGTGGCTGGAAAAGCCTTTGTTGTACTGAAGTCATAAGAAACGTAGTGTAGGTGGGAGTGAGATCTAGCCACTGGTTAATGATTTATATATGAGGAAACCAGTTCAGTCTAAGTTATATTGTATTAACACTACTTGTTATGGAGATGAGTTTATTCTGCCAGTTGGAAGCCAAATTCTGGCCATAGCTTCATGGTCACTGTACAAACCCCTGCCTTCATTGCCTCCAAAGACCCAGGACAACTGGGAGAGGGGTAGGGCACCATGTCAGCCTGGGAGGAGAGCTCATCTCCTGGGGTTCTCTGGGAATACTTCCAAGGCATGCAGCCTTTACACCCTCCTGTGCACTCTCCAAATGTGGTGGATAAAACATGGCTGGTGCTTGAGGGGGAACTGGGCAAGGGAGCCATCCTCACCCTCAGAAGCAGTGACCTTCTCCATCCTTCAGTGAACTTGCAGGGGAAAGAAATGCCTCACATACATCAAGCTCCTAGTACAGATAAAGTAGTATTACACAAAATGTTAATTTGAGCTTTGTCACACATAAACCCATCAGGAAATGAAGGTAAAATACACACAGGTACCTCCAAGTGTAAGCAACTGTACAACATAAAAACTGTGAAAGAAAATTAGCTTCTGGAAAATTAATTGTATTTTGCTTTGAAGTTTTCTCTGCTATTGCCCATATGTTACTAGTGTTTATGACCAGTACTAGTTACTAGTGTTACTGGTGTTTATGACCAGTAGGTGTACCAGTACCACTGATCCTCATTCACCTTGCTTTCCAAACAGTTTACATAATTATGTCATGCATGCTTGCAGTGATCTTGTATGAACACCATTAAACCAGTTAATGATCAAAATAAACTAGAATTCAATTATAATTTTTGTTAACAACATATTTATTTTTTAAAAAACCCATTAAAATAGTCCCTACTGTTGTATTCAATGCAAATTATTAATGAGCTGTAGAACAACGCAAGCCTTAAAACCTCATTTTCTGCTAGAAATGAAGTAATGGTTATAGGCTAAAGGGACAGGATGAGGGATATTGAAACTATCTTTTTAAAATTACAGTACAAAATTATTCTTAAAAAAAAAAAAAAAAAAAAAAAAAAAAAAAAAAAAGACTTCAAAATATAACATGTTTATTAATCCAAGCTGCAAGTAAGAGTTAGGGAAATTACTGTTTCAGCAGCAACACTAAGGAGCATCCTTTGAGCTGGGCAGTGAGTCCTCCTCTTTCCGCTTCTACTGGCTGCAGGATAAATGTGGGTGTAAGGTGATACTAAATGTGCTATACCCAAAATTGTACTTGGATGTTTCTGGTGTCCAGTGCTTCTCATTAGGTGACAGATGATGGCCAGGGCATCACCTTTTTAATCAACTGATTCTGCATTCAAACACATGAATGCTGCCATCCTCCCCCACGCCCTGCCACCCCTTTTTATTGAAGTGATTGTTCGTATTTCCCAAGCAGAGCTAAAGTGCTTCATACAGCAAGTGAGATCTGTCTCAGAGATCCTGCACACTGAGAGCATTCTTTAGGACTTTTACATTATCTTAGTGTGTCTCCCCCTTGCCTCTGGCCATGCCTGCCTCTTTCTTGGCTCGACCATCAAACAGCCATTGTGTCTGTATCCTGATATGGATCAACTGTGCTTGATCCTGCTGTGGGAGACAAGGATGCTAGAGGTCAGGGAGTGAATTCTTCCTTTTACAGATGTTGTCTGGGATGTCTTAATGTCAGTGCTATTTATAGGCTACAGGGTACTTATGTTTCTAAGGAGATAATCCCCTTTTTAATATTTTGTGTTTCTGGTTTAATATTTTTGTCCATGTCAATGACATCATAACCAAAGCACTGAAGGTTAACTAATCAGCAAGCTCTTTTTTATTAACTTTCTGGTTCAATTGTAATTGTGCCCCTCTGTAATTCTCTTGCATCCATGGGTATGACTGCACTGCTGTGAACCAAATGCTGTCACTTACACCATTGTTAACCAAATCAGGCTGGGTAATTCCAAGTGAGCACAACCCTGAGGAAAGGCAGAGGGATACACTAAAGCTTTCTGCATGTATTTTGTGTATGTAGGTAACAGCTTGGTCCTTTTAATTTTGGTAATTTTAAATTTTGCATTTATACAGATATATAAATGCAGTGAGAAATTTTATAGATATTATGATGTAAATCTGCCCTTGATATCATTCAGAAGTCAGTGAAATTACCTCTCCTTCAGTTCTATGTCTCTATGAGCTTTGTTTGTTCCTCACTGACCTGGTGTGTAGACTTGGGCTTGCAGGTGTTTCTGGTCACTGTAGGAGCCCAGGGATCTCTGTTGAGCAGCTGCTGTTGTTTTGGAAGCAGTCAGTTTTTCTGTCCCCCTGTTCTACTTGAATGGCATCAGATGTCAGGGTCCAAAGGAATATTTTTAAATGATAAATTATATTCCACTATTCTTGGGGATACGTATTTGAATAACAAATCTGTGTAATCTTGGCAGGCCTTCTTCCTCTTTGTTTGCATTTCACATAATCTACAAAGCAAGTTTACTGACCAAAATGTTTCTGAAAAACGGGAATTTCTCATGAAGACTGGGGAACTCTGGTCCTGGATTTTGGAATTGTGTTTGCATTATGTGTAGGCAGCCAAGAAACACCATGCTTTGAAGATTTTTGTTGAAAACTAACCTTTGGAGCTATGGTTTCACATGTTGGTTGGAGAACACGTGCAGAAAGTTGCTGATGAGCAATCTCCAGACTAAGGTCCCAGTCTGGACAAACACATGCATACAGAACTGCAGAGTCTCAAGGAAGTCAACATAATCAGTCATAGGTTACAGAGACAAACAATTCCTGTCAATAATGTGACTATGCAGAGGCTTGGGTGTAGCTTCATGTTTTAACAAAACAGAATCTAGTGCCTGGGCTGGCCTTTGAAGAGCAGGAGTGAGGAATCATTCATGGAAATGCATCAATGAATGTCTTGAAATGCCAGAAGAAAATTTGAAATGTTGAAGGTTATCTCAGGAAATGGCAAAGAACCCAAAGATAGCACCCACAAAGAAAGAGATACTGCAATCATGCTGCTATTTATTCAAAAGAAAGAAGCTTTCAGCTCTATTCTAAAAATAATACATATCTGCTTACCTTTATACAACTGAGATTTGAGACTTAAAATAAAACTGGGCTAAATCCAGACCTGAGGTGAGGTGTTTAGTGATCACAGACTTCAGTGCAGTGTTGATCACATTGAACTCTCTCTGACTTGGGCCACACACTCTGTCTGCAAATTGGAAAAACCTCATCCAAGGTTTGTAAAGCCCAAGGCTATATTGCATAAGCATGTCCTTATCAGACTTCTTAAAATGCCTTGAGACTATCAAGCCAACACAATAACAGATGCAATTTCCAGAGAAAATCTGTACTTAGCATCTTTCACCTTCAAAACTGAGGAGTTGAGGGGTTTTAAAAATCCTGTTCATAAAACCAGGCTCTACCAGCGGGCTGGGCAATCCCTTCAGCCATTCCCAGCTAACACTTTGCTGTAAGAGTGCTTAGAACATGGCAGTGTCTGCATCTCCAGTGAAACACATGAAAAGCTTGAACAGGTGGTGGCTACAGAATAACGTGGTGGGAAAATAATGGATCTTCCCTGGGTATGAGAAGAGCAATTGGGGTCAGTCAGGCCCTAGAAAACACAAATAGCCTACAACTGATCTCCAAAAAGCAATGTTAAGCACCAGAGAAGAAGTGGAGTTTGCTCAGCATGTGCTTGCAGTGCATGAGCATGATGAAATCATTTGTCCAGGACAAACCTGAAAGGGAAAATGAGTAACCTCAGGGGTATGGGAAAGGGAATTGGAAGAGACTGAATATTTCAGGAATTAGTAATGGCTGTAGTGTTTCCTACAGATCCCTTCACTTCTTGATTCTTACAATGAGGTTACTGCATCATTATTTACTTCCTGGTGTAAAAGCTGTACCCAAATTCTCCCTGTATGGCTTCAACAGTGTTTATTGAGTTAGCCAGAAGGGTCAGTTTGCAAACCACTAGAGGGATCTCAGAAGTTTGAGCTAAGAATGGGAATAGGTGAGATTTCCACAGCTGATGTGCACAGTTAAAAACTTCAGACTGACACAGGTGAGGGAAGGGGCAGGTGCAGAGAGCAGTCAGCTATCACTGACATCCCCACACAAATGCTTCTGGACCATTGCACTCCCTGCGGCACTGACCCTTTGACACACGTCACCTTTCTGAGGCAGGCTTTCTGCAGAGTCTCCAAAAGTCTGGTTATGGCCATTGTACTCAGTCTTCATGCATGGCACCTGCTTTGGGGTTGAGCTATTCAAAATTGGTTCAAAGACTTACAACAACAAAATGTAACAGGTGTAAAATGCTTGTCTGGACTTGCGTCAGATGAGGAAACAGAATTTGCTTGCGTCATGTTGCCTTACAGCTCTTTGCCTTCCAAATGCAGAGCCACACCACCACTTCTGTAGCTTCTGTAAATTCTCCTGTATACAGATACTTGTGCAGTGCTTTACACAAACATAGAAGATTCTAAGGACACTTGTTATCTTTTCATTGAAAAGCGTCAGTCATGCAGATTAACACCGCCTGAGGGGTTTGTCCATAGAGGATAGAGATTTATTTTCATAATAATGCCTGTCAGGATTGAATAACATTAGGACATAGTTTTATTCCTTTTTTTTTTTTTTAAACATCTTTATGTTATGATATTTTCCTTGTGCTCTAATACAGCTACATACTGTGGAAGACATTCAGTAGCATATTCTGTGAATAAGCCAGACTGGAGAGCTTGCATGACCACAAATTGTGCTGATTGTATTGTTCTGCCAGCTCTAGACAGAGAAAAATTATTATACAAGTTCTGCTGATGCTGATACCATGTTTATGAGACAATAAAAGTTGGCTCTTCTGAAGGCTAAGTCAAAAAAAAAAAAAGGTACATATGAATACAGGACTCCAGCTGAAGAGGAGAGAGCTCGTATGAATGGCCCTGGACACTACACTCAGTGATGGTGGGTGACCAGGTTCTCAAAAGAAGTTGAGTTTTTTTAACAAGTTATTGTAGTCAGTGAAAATCACTAGTTGAAAATTGATTGTGTGGGATCAGGAAACTCTTGGGTGAAATAACATTCTGTTGTCTGTGTCAAAAAGGTCAATTCCCTAAAAATATCTCAGAGTCAAATAAGCCACATGGTAGGATTCGTTCTACTCCCTCTGGCACCTAACCTAACTAGCACAAACCAATTTTTTCATTTATGAAAACAGCTTCTCCTTCCCAATTATTGTGATCTGTATCAAAGATTACTGCCATGTCTGCTTTCTTTTACCTTTATTCCAGTTATTGCATTGGCAATAGGTGCTGTACAAACACACAGTGGAGGGCAGTTTTTCTGCTGAGAACCTGTGTTCAAACAGACATGACAGCTGACAGGCAGGAGAGGCAAAGAGCTGTCCCTTCCCTGCTTGGCAAGGGAACAGCTCTGCCAGCCTGAGCAAGCAGAGCCAAAAGGAAGCCCCACACACTCAGGGTCTGTGCTCTCCCTTGGTGCTGGTCACAATACTGGCCATTAACCACATGGCAAAACTCTTCACGTTAGAAAATCGTCAGCAGTGGATTAGAATAAAGATTCATTTTCTGAGCAGACCTGGAATTCTGTCTGATTTTGAGGAGTCCTGGCCTCAAAGGAGGACATGAATATATGAAACAGTTGCATGTTTACATTTTTAGCTTTCATGCTGGTAAAAACCTGACATGCGTAGTCTGCTTTTTTTATTTGGTGAGAATTGCTGTAATATCTGAGTCTGCAATGGTCTATTGAAAACAGACCTCTGACTAGGAAATAGAGAGTTTAGATGTTATAAACTGCTAGTAATTTATTATTTTGAGATTGGCATATATTTTGGCAAAGTTTAAGTTGGCTGGAGTGATAGTGAGTGATGAAAGATGTTATGGCGGTTGAAAAGTGGCTGAATTCCTTTGTTTCCAGACTTTTCACTTTTTTTTTAAGGCGCAGAATGTTTATATAGAAAGTGTAATATTGTTTTATGAGTATTTGCTGGACCCTGCTAAAACCAAGCACTCAAGCTTTACTCTTTTAACAAAGTGTTTTGTTATGGAATTCCTCTGGGTTTTGATGTTTCTAAATTAGGGTTAAATCAGGTTGGTATGTGGGGGCCATGGGAGAACAGGCCAGAAGTGACAAACTGTCTGATGTCTAGCAGGGTGTGCTTCCACTCCAGGACGTGATGTGGTGGCAGGAAGAGAAGACTCCTCAACTGGGCATGAAGGAACCATAACACAAGGGCACAAAAAGTGGGGAAGAAGGGATTTTAAGCACTGGGAAAGCTGGCAGCATTTTAAGAGGTGGACATTTTCAGCGCAAGACCCTGCCTGCCCCACGGCTGCTCTCTGGTCCACCACAGCCTGCATGCTTCCCATTTTTTATTTCCATCATCTGGAGCAGGAGCACTTTTAGTCCCATGGTTATAAATTATCATTCTTCCTTCCCAATCATCTCTATTTTTCCCTCCAAGACTGTGATACTTGGTGAGCCACGATATACTCAGGAAACAAATTCTTGTTTCTGATATTTCTCTGCCCATTTCCTCTGCATTTATCTCCTCCAAGTCGGCTGCTCATAAAACTCATTGGCTTTCTGCCTTCAGCTTGGCTCACTAAACCCTGGAGTCAGTTTCCAGCCTTTTTGTTTTTACAAAAAAGGACAGAGCTCTGAGCCACAGCATCCTGGGATGTTGTAGCAGCAGAGAGAAAGCCTTTAAACCATTAAGAAACGGAAGCTGCTAAACTCAGTGTTTCATTGATGAGAGCATCAGGGCTTCCTTCAAGCTGAGTACAAGGAAAAAGAGCAGAATTTCTACTAATTCACAAATCTTACTAGGAACAAGAGGCAGTTTTCTGATTGTATCATGCAGTCTATATTGTAATAACTTTCCAAGTCTGTATTCTCCCATTTAATACTCCGCTTTAATGACCTCACATTGCTACTCTGCTCCTACTTGCTCACATCATAGTCTTTGCAAACCTCTCCCAAGTAGCACTCAAAAGTTCTCAAAAGACAAGCAAAGGTTATCCTTCCTGTCCTAGCAATGCTAGAGACCCAAAAAGCCAGTAAGGAAAAACAAAGTAAAAGAGCTTGTTTCAAACAGATTTAAGAACAAGGCATGTAAATCCTCATCCCTATTAAAATAAAGACCAAAGTGCCAGTGGCTTTAACACGCATTATACCTTCCAACTATACAATTTTAAAATTTTTTTTCAAACTATTAAACATATGTATAGATTTAGCTTAGCACTGAGAGGCCTCAGCTGGAATACTTTTCACAGTTTTGGGCACTGTGCTTCAAAAAAGATGTGAACCAACTGGAGAGAATCCAGATGAGAGCAACAAGAATGATCAAAGGTCCAGAAAATGTGATGTATGAGGAAAGACCAAAAGAATTGGGTTTGTTTAGACTAGAGAAGAACAGTCTGAGGGGAGACATGACAACAGTCTTCAGACACGTTAGACTGCTGCAAAGGGGAAGAAAAACTGTTCTCAATTTCTACTGGAAGTAGGCTAAAAAGCAACAGATTACAATGGAGATTCAGATTAGACTTTAGAAGAAACTCTTTTTTTGGTTACAGCAGTTATACCTGAGAAGACAATGCCCATGAAAACTGTGGGATCCCACTACTTGAGATTGGGGTGCTGATATAGGCTGGACTGCTTTGTGGTAGAAGCATGAATAAGACTGCTCCTAGTCCTTTTCAGCTATTTCCCTCCATGTTAGAAGTGTAGGAGAGAGATTGCAAGTGAAAAAAAAAAAAACAAACCAAAAAAAAAACCAACTAAAAACCAATTAATATTTTCTGAAGGAATTTGGACAGATCGGACCTCAGTGGTCTTTGAACAGGAGATTAATTGCAGCCATACCTGCAGAGTTAGTATTACTACCTTGTAGCCATTAGAAACTGTTTGCAACTATCACACTGAGGAAAACAGGGAAAAATAGAATTCTGATTCTTATCTGCTCTAAAGTCCTTACTTATGATGGACAATATTCTGGCAGTGGAGGCCTGTCAAAAATCTTGAGTGTAAATAAGCATAAAATCCTCAATGTTGTAAAACACACCATCCAGTGATAGATTTCTATGAACTCTGTTATATAGAAAGATTTAATACAGAAAGGAACCCAAATATGTGACACTTTGTCAGAAAGCAAAAGATTACATAGTACAACACATTTTTTTGGAATAAATTTACAATGAATTTTAACTATAAAATAGAGTGAAAAAAACCAGGTGAAACTAAAACAAATGCAGGGTGAATTGAAACAAAGTGCCTGACTGATAATTCCAGAGACAATTGGGAATGCAAATTAGGACTCCTGAGGTCCCTTGTTTCAATAGGTGCGTTTTTTGTTTCTGTTTCTGCTTGTTTGTCTGCTTTTCATTTATAATGAAAAAAAAAGTTAAAAAAGGCAAGATTGCAAAAGCCAGCTTTTTCCTCAGTTTTTTTGGTGCTTTCTGCTAAGCAGCCTTGGAGCTACAAAGGTTCACAGTCTTTCACATAGACTCATGCCCTAGAAGTGCTTACAGTGAGAAGAAGAATCCTTAAAATACATGACCACACAGACAATCATATGGGATCTTCAGATGTTTGCATCCTGGTCGGGACTGTGCATGAAGAGGCCTCTAGACAGGCATAGGTCACCGGCTCTGTGGAAAGAGCGGTCTGGAGCTGCTATGGGTACTGGCTTTTGAGGAGAGAGTTCTGCAGAGGAGGAACTGTCTCTTTTGGCTGAATGTTTCCAGGGCACAAACTGGAGGTTTAGAAGGAGTACTGTGATACAAATATCCTCAGCCGGATGACGGAGCTTCCTCTGAAGTTGATGACGGTGTTAACAGTGATCATTTCCAAGTCCAACTCGACAGTGCGGGGCCCCTTCACGGGCCGGGTCATCACCAGGGTAGCACTGATGGGTCCCGTTTGCTGTGCAAGAAACAAGAGAAAGCAAGTGAGATTGCCAAATTAGTTCTTCAAAACTACTGTCTCACTAGTCTTCAAGCAGCCAAAATAGGTGTTTTCTGTTTCATTCTTTGAAACCACTGCAACTGATAGGACAGAGTTTCATTTCAGCTTTCGGCTTCTTTTCAGTGTGAACTGTCACCTTCTACAGTTTGTAAAGCCTTTGGGAGCCCTGCACATTAAAGTACCTATTGAATATAGATACTTGCTATTGCCCAAAGAAAAAAAAAGGTGAAAACATGGATTTAGGGTATAAACAAGTAATGATAGATTTTTGTTTGTTTGTTTGTTTATTTGAAGTACTCTTTAGTTTGATGTAAAGTTATTGTGAAGAAGCAGACACCCAGAAGGCCTTGTGTTAAAGAACCTGGAGAACAGGTGTTCCATGTGAATGGGGTCTGGGTTTGTGGTACATTGTGTATGTTAACGGTACAAACCTTACACTCCAAATAGAACTTTGAATATGCAGTGGCACTTCAGAAAACCAGTCCTTTATTAAATGGAAGCAGACCTTTGCAATATCTGACCAGAACAGTGGATTACGTGCATTTAAAAATCAGAGCTGCTGATGTTAAAACCAACTGCAATTTGTTTTCTGTTAGGAGCTTACATAGCCACAGTGGGTCCTGTTTTACCTGTCCAGTTCTACCTCAAAATGGGTGTTTGTTACCTTTGATCAGGGAAGGCTGACAGAGCCATGAGGAGGTGCTAGGCACGTTGCCTGGTCCATGCTAGGCCGGGCCCCAGCGCCTCAGCAAGGGCACAGTGTCCCTCCCTGCTGGCCATGCCCAGGGAACGGCTGCATGGTGAGCCCCTGGAACAGCAGGCTCGGGCATGGGGGTGGGGGCTGGGGCCTCAGACTGCTAGATCGGCCCAGATGGGGGGAAAAGGTCAGTGGGATCAGTGATGGCTTTGCAGCAGGAAAGCTCTTGTGAGATGTTAATGATTGTAACAAGTCCGCTTGTCGGTTCAGGATTTTGGAACATTTTTCTTTTCTTACAGTGGGAATCTGAGGTTCTTGTGAGAAATATATCCTGGAATCTATCCCACTACCCATGTCTGTGATGGATGGGAGCCTTCAGCAGGCACAGAACAGGACTCAATGTGAATGTCAGAGCCAGGTTTTGCCTGGGGCTGAAAATCAACCTCCCGAGAGTCACTGACCCTTGTGGATGTGCCCCATTCTCTGCAGACACCCCTGTAATCTCTGCATTGTGGTGTTGTGGCAAAGATGACTGGGGAACACAGAGATCTTCTGAGGAAAACAAATTTAAAACCTCAGGTAATTACATTTTCTCTAACAGTGTCTACAAAAAAAATGTGTGTTCTCAGTGGAAAAAAAATCATAACAAATGAAAGCAAAGAACCCAGAAAGTAAATTGTTGGCATAAAGGAGTAGGTTTTTTTTCTTACTTTTTTGCTTTTCACATTTTTCAATTTCCAATGAAAAGGTTTAATAAAACAGATAAGAAACACTGAGTCTTTTGGTGACAGTTGTTGATTGCCCATCAAATAAAAACCAGTTTGGCACAATGGTTTCTCTTGAGCTTGGGAAACCTGAGCTATTCTTAGACATGGGTACAGCTCTGGGCTTTCCTAAACCTACTGTCTCATAGGAGAGGCATGTTTGCTTTGGGTAGGTTTCTCTCCTGAGAGATCCAGCAATTCCTGCAGATCAGCACACTGCTCTGCGCGTCTGTGTGTAAAAAAAAAAGCCTCATACTGAAGGTTCAAGTGATAGACACGAGAAGGTCAGTTGTGCCATCAGGACATACAAGATACTTCATGTTTTCTCCAGAGAGTACTGGACTTACCCGCATGTAGAATTCCCTGCCCTCGTTCCCTGATTTGATTTGGAAGATGTAATAGGCTCCAGGGTAGCGAGTTGTAGCTTGCATCTGGAAAATATCCGAAGGCACGGATCTCCCAGACACCATATCCATCACTCTGTACAGGATGGTGAACGGCTGATCTCTGCACCCAGGGTTTTCAGCGGGACACATGCAGCGGCTGGTTGTCAGAGATAGGATTGTCAGAGATAGAATTGTCAGCAGGGGTTACAAACTGCTGTAATATTTGATTCTTTATATGCTAATAGAGGTGCATAAATAAATAAACAAATAATGTTGTTGACCAGCTAAAAGAATCAATGAAACTTGTAATGCATTTTCTGACTTTTAGCATTTTCTGTGTTGCTGTTCTGGCCTATATCCTGCCTCCTTTTTCTTGTCTTCTCAGCCAAAATACCTTGGCATTCTCCTTAGATCACTCAAAAATGTGAACTTTCTTTGAAGCAGCCCTGCAGGTGTAGACTACTCGGTACATGTTTGTTCTGATAGTAATTTAAACTGAACTGTCCCCAGAATATTATTAGATCATTTCACTGATAGTACTACATAAACAGTAGTGATTTTTTACTATATTTTGTACTTTACATGAAAACATACAGTAGACATCCTGGATCACACCAAAGCTCTAACATCAAAAGCAGAGCCTTAAGGAAGAAGAGGATATGACAAGCACATGACACTTCCACCAACAGTCTCCAATTGTTTGTGACTCAGGGAATCCTTGAAACAAAATTTTCTTATTTCTATTCGTCAGCTATTAATGCATTTCTTATCCATCAGCTTTTCCAGCTTCCCACTTGAATGTTTGGCATCCACAGCCCCCTGTGGCCAGGAGCCCCACAGCCCCTTTTCATCTCTCTTTGCATGGCCTCTTTCTGACTTTGTCTGGTGCTCCCAGCTGTTCTACTGAAAGGAGAGCAGCCAGTCAATCCCTGCCCATCCTAGTCACCCATCTCAGGGCTTCATACTTGACCCTGTTCATGGCTTAAGTGCTCTAATTTGGCTTTTATTCACAAGGAAGCTATTCCGTACTTTTGATCTTCCTCATTGCTTCTTATGAACCTTTATCCAATTGTATTTCTTTTGACAGGAGGGGAAGGAACTGCACAGTCTTAAAGATGTGGTACACAATACCATGTGCTCCAAGGATATTCTCTACCTATTAACAATTGAAATTCAGATTGCTTTTCTGACCTCTAGTGAGTACTGCAGATCATGGAACTAGAACACTCAAATCTAAGTTTGCATGGATTATGATCAGATCATATTTAATTTGTGAATTTGGAATTTTCTTTTTACTTTAAATTCATCTACACTGAATTTCATCTGCCATTTTTATTGCACAGTCATTGAGGCTTATTCTGTAATATTTTTCTACCCACTCTTTTATCTGTCTTCAGATATTTTTGCAGACTTTACCCATCCCATTTATTGTTTGTCCATCCCAGGTTGTTTGTGATGGACCAAGTAGGTCCAGCTCAGACCTCTGCAGAAATTCAGCATGAAAGTTGGCAATTTAATACTATCCTCTGTTTAATTTTTATATTTCAGCTTCTTATTCTTGTGTTCCAGGGACTTTTCTCTGTTACTTATGACTGCTTAATTTCCATAATAACTATGTGAGGGGCTTTTCAGAAGCCTTTGGAAATGCAAACAGACTGCATCAGTCCATGTGCCCTAGCCACATGCGCTGATTTCTTCAGAGAACTCTAAGGAAGTTGTAAAGCAGGATATCCCTTTATAAAAGCCATGTTGGGGGAATTTACTGGGCAAGGGTCTTTTTGACTATTTTTTCTATAACCTCCACCGCTGACATCAATTTCAGACAGTCCATCTGGCATGTCCCCCATCAAGAGACTCCTGGCATTATGAACACCCAATTTCTTCCACAGAAAACACAGATGCAAGGAATTCACTTGGCTTTTATACTGACCACTTCTAGACATATGTCGCTAATTAAGTGCAGTCCCATCTAGACATGAGCCAAAGCCACCAAACACAAAGCTCAGAGATCATGTTCTGATGCAAGCTGCTCTGCAAGGACTCTGTAGCTGGTCTCTGGGGAATTTAGATGCAGAGGATTCAGTTATGTCAAATTCCAGTTTAAGACTCTGTCAACAGGTAGGAAAACCCAGAACTAGACAGAAAATATGTGTCCACTCTTCAGCTGCCCTAATTCAGAAAACAATGTAAATATACTAACAAATTCTAAAGGAAAGAAGCGAATTACTAATCTCTTGACTTTCTGTAAAATATATTAGGCTACTAAGCAATTCCAGGTTATTGGGTTTAGTACAAACACTGTGGATGAAATAATGTGGGCTGCAGTATATTGAGATCTGTCTGGAACTGAAATATTTTGAGCCCCAGAAAATGCATACAAATGTAAAAGAAGCAGGCTATTTTTAGAAATGTAGTGTTTATTGTTTGCCTGCTCAAATGATTCCCAGTTGAGACAGTAACAGTACTAACAGCTCCATCCAGACATACCCAATGTCTGGGCAAGGTGGATCAGTCTGTGAACTATTCAGAACTTTTAACCTTTAAGCAATAAGAAACAATTTACATCCTGCTCTAACTAATATTTTAAAGTACTTTTCAGGCATAAACTAGTTACCATTTGCAGGAAATAGTCCTACTAATAAACAGGTTGCATTTGAGCATATATGAAGTCAGTAATGTGTCTCTTATTACATCACAAGCCTTGCTGTTTTGTCAACTGATAGCTGTTTTTCCAGTCTGATACAGTAATTTTCCAGTATGATACATATATCATATCATATCATATCACGTCATATCATATATCATATACCTGGTGACCTGATAAACAATTGCATTTTCTTATCTTTATAAAGCTTACCAGTGGTAAATTTAGCAATGTATGTAAATTTAGCAGTGATGTAGCAATGTAGTAAGTTTAGTATGTATGTATAGCTGTTTAGACAGACTTCATGGTTGTAGTGTAAAATTGCAGCTTCTTTGGTTTACCTTAGATACAACTTTCACAGAGAGAATTTGCTTTTGTGGCTGTGGGTATGCTACTCACTTCTCATTAATCTGGAGATAAGGCTCCTCACATCGTACTGGGTCTAAACATTTATATTCTCCTGGGATATTGAAACATGTTTGCTGTGAAGTGCAGGTGAAATTTCTGATTTCACATTCATTGATATCTAAAACACAAGGAATGAGAGAATGGCTGAAGCAGGGAAATATGTACAAAATACCACTCCTACAAACTGGTTTCTGTCTTAAAGAATTACCCCAAAATTCATAAAACTCTTGCACTGTGAGACGTGGCCGTTTTATAACTGTTCCCTCTTTTAAGATCAGTTTTTACTCCATTCACTTCTGCTAATTAGAGTGCTCCCACATGCTAAACACTGGGGAAAATAAAAAAAAAGGGAAAGGAATTGGCTGCTCAAACCCTCTGACCTTAGAGAATAGGAAAAGTAGAGATGTACAGCAGAGGAGAGAGCATTTGAGGTCTTTCCTGTGTAGCTGTTTTCTAGCCAATAAAGTCTTACTTAAAACAACACACCAATTCACCTCAGCAGGAATATTCATGTGCTGACATTCTTACGTGCCTACATTGCTGCAATTCTTAGAATTGCATAATTGGCCCCTACGAGTATTTCACTGTGCAATGCCAAGACCAAGCATCTCAATTCTTGAAAACCTCTTTCTAGACACAGGATCTACTTTCTGGTCCCCATGGGTTTAAATCAGTGCAGAAATGTTACCTTGGCAGCTTCTACTGTCGTCAAGCAAGTTATAGCCCGAAGGACAGGTACAGTAGTAAGAGCCAGGCCCGTTCACACATTCGTGCTGGCAGAGGAACTCTGAGAAGCTGCATTCATCCATGTCTGCAGGGGTAAAACAAAAACCAAAGTTTAGTGCCTTTGGCTTTACTGTCAAAAGAGCAGGCAGGCGGCCACCCAGACTAGCTGCCCATTACCTCCGCTGGAGGCTGGCTCTCTCCAGCTCCCTAGAGCTCTGCAGTAACCTGACAAAATGCTATACAACAAGTTCTTCATTAAACACTTTTTTCCTAAGGAAACCAAAGCTGCTGCTGAACACAATGTATGGCTTTTAATTATTTATTTTTCTTTTCTAATACCTGTCACCAGTTGGCCATGTTTTCATTCCTGTTTTACGTCAGAGATAGAGATACTCTGACAACAAAGCTGCAACTGTAATTTAAAAGGAAAGACTTGGCAGCAGTTTTATTTTCTTTTTTCCCCCCTCTTTTGGAGAGCAAGCTTCATGTTCCCAGGGCCACATGGGCTCCAGCAGAACTCCTGCAGCCAGCCCTGTCTGTTTCACGTTTTTTAGCCTCTAGTCAGTTACTTCCAAGTCATTCCAGCAAGACTACAAGATCACATCCCAGCCTGGGTCAGACGCACTGGAAGGCCCAGCCCTCTCCCAGATACCCGGGGAGCCAGGCAGTCTGTCAAATACCTGACTGAAAGGAGAAACTGTGCTCTTTCCCCCTTGCTCTCATGAATTGTCCAGTCTTTGTGTTCTGCAGAGCTGTGCTCAAGTGAGAAAGACGAACTTGAGAGCTGCACATGGAGGCATGGCTGACTGAGGGGAAAACACATGCAAAGGCACTAGGCCGAGGGAGGCTGCCACTAATCATTTCCTTATTTCCACGTTCAGAGGAAGAAAGAAACAAAGGCCAGAGCCCCAGCCAGGAACTCCCAAGTTCTTATTCCCAGCTCTGACATGTTGACTCTCCCAGGCAAATCACTTTTACTCTTCAGACTGAATTTCCCTTTCTTCTAAATTGGGCTCAGTCCATTTATTCACTTCTGGTGTTTTGTGCAAATGGATTGGAAAATATTTGAAGTCCAAATATATCCAAGTGGCTTTAGGGCTGAAATCAGATTCTCAAAAGGGAGATGAAAGGAACTCTACACCTACATAGTCCTGTTACCGTGTGAGCTTCCCCCATGAGTTCACTGAAACAAACACCTTCCTGAAGCTACACGGACTGAGGGCTGACTCCATAAAGTGGCTGAGATATCAGCCACCCTGTGGCATCCTAGCACAGACCTCCAGCATATTGGACTCGTGTAACTGATGCTTGCTGCTGTCAGGTGCTGAGGGACTTAGAGCCCTGAGGGCCCTACATTCCTGCTGTTGGGCCCACAGTGTTCCTAAACACTCCTGACATTCTCCTGGCTGACTGTGTGCAGACAACAGGGTGGCTGTCATTTCAGAGCACATCTAATGCATTTGGAAGACCTCTGTGATTAGAAAATAATGATGATGTTGGGAAGGCCAGGTTGAAATCTCTGCCTCTCTCCTTGAACTGGGGCAAGAATGCCTCCCAGTTTCAAGGTAAGTTGGCTGCTAGGCCATGGACTAACTCCGCTCCTATTGAAATAAATCTGAATCCTGGGTGTCTCTTAAGAGTGTCCTCCTAACCAGGCATTCCCTTTGTGAGCCTCAGGTGTCCAGTGATTGCTGTGGAGTGGAAGAAGATCATGCAGAGAAACTTGATCTGCTTTGTCAAACATCTCTTGCACAAGATTGTCAGGAAGAGATTTTCTGCTCTGTGTCTGGCTGGTGGAAAAACCTTTTGGCTGGCTGAGCTCTCAGACATGGATGCGGCTCAAGCACCCTTATTGGGCATTGCAATTGAACTTATCTGGTTCAGACCCCCAGCTAGCTCAGGAGGTGAACACATAAAAAACATTCAGGAGTCTAATTTAGAAGAAGAAAATCCATCAGGATGCAGAACATTAGGTGTTTAATTGTTAAGACCCTTTAGCTATTTAATATTAGTTCTTCCCCTTATAACAAGGAGATTTGCAGGGAAAATATCTTGGGAAACACTAATCATGTACACTGAATCTCACGTCTTCTCTCTCAGAAACAGCATATTACATCTGTTTACTGTAAATGAAAACTCAAGTATTTTCCAGTGCATTTTTTCTTCCAGGACATATTGGCTGAATTTTCTAATTGTATCAGGCTGATTGTACAATAAGCAAAGAAATAAGTTTTGCTTTCAACTAAAATAAAATAATAAAATAAAAACAAAAACCAGAAAGGAAAAGTTACAGTGACATAAGCATAATTTATTCTGCTGTGTGCTGAACAGGTCAGCAATAACTATACTAAGAAATCATATATCGTTTCTAAAGTGAAGCCAGAGCCAAACAGGAGAAACTGGGGAAAGTTTCACTGGGAAAGAAGTGAGCAGTCATGAAAAGCAAGGGAAATATATGCATTCAACAGACAAATGGAAAAGTGCTTTTTATAAACTATTTCTTTAATCATGGAAGAATGTCCTCAGACTATCTCTACTTGCTCTAATAAAGCTTCCTGTTCGGCATTACAAAGTGCTTTCTTATGTTTTGCTGTTACCTTGGAGATTTTGAATATTTAGGTTATTTCTTTAAAACCATTTGTGGCCCTCCTCCATGGAGCTTTCCTGGGTATTTGCTGAGTGCTTTAGCTGGAAAGAAGATCATATGAGTTGCAGCTATCCTGATGCTACTATGGACCAAGGCGAAAAACTTTTTAGAAAGTATGTAAAACCAATATCTTTGAAAAAGTACACGTAATAGAATTAAAGAAACCAAAACAGTAAATAAGACAGTTACCACTGCAGTTAACTCCATCAGCTTCCAGTTCATAGCCAGGTTCACAGCGGCAGAGAAAAGAGCCATAGGTGTTGACACAAGTCTGAGTGCAAGGGTTTTCACTTGTACATTCATTCACATCTATGGGAAACCAATGCCAAATTAATCAGTGACTTCTCCCCAAACTCCATTTTTATTTTTTTTTTCTGCAGAGCATTTCAAAGAGATTAACTGTACAGTCAGAATGATTTGTTCTGAAAAATATAACCAAGTCAGCCCTGTTTATTTGGATTCAGGTTGATGCCTGGGAATAGTATGTTGGAAACACAACATGTATGGAAGTGAAGCATTTTGGGAAAGACTTCAATTAAAAAAATAACGTGGAAGATGGGGATGAAATTTTTATTACAAATGTTTCATTCCTTTTCCTGCAATTTGAAAACCATTGAAACAATATTATCATAACAGATCTGAGAAAAAATGCAGCAGGATTTTCCTGAGAAAGATGATGTAATGATGAGGGGTCCTTATGGAAACCTCGGGCTAAGGCAAAAGCAATATTTTTTTCCTTGTAGGACATTAACAACTTCTGGGCATCATGAGCACAGACCTTCTCCTGCAGCATGTGGAAAGATATTCTGCTTTGCTAGGGGAAGGGGTTGTGCTTACTTTGAGCTAGCACATCACAGCAAAAGATGGTCTAATGCTTAGGACTCCAGTCTGGATCTTGGGAGACTCTGATTTACTGATCTGACAAAGTTTTCCTGTCTCAGTTGGGTCACACAACCTCAGATTTTAATAATAAATTCAGTGCCTGAACAATTGGTAATTCCACTGAATTGAGTGAATTGAGGTTTGGGCCTCTGTGCATATCGCTCCTGATACACCAGTCCTGTTGCACCTGAAGCCCTTCGAGGTACTGTGGCACTCCAGAGAGATCTGTCTGACAAACCTGTGAACATTTTCAAAAGCAGTGCTGGGAAGGTTAATTGTGTTCTAAAAACCAAGCAAGTTTTAAGGGTGTGGCTGAGGGGGGACCAAAGATTTCAGGCGTGGTTCCCCATACTCATACCTTGGCAGGATCTCCCATCGTCATTGAGGGTGAAGCCCGGGTTGCAGGTGCAGGAGTAGGAGCCGGGCACGTTGGCACACAGCTGCTGGCAGTAGCCGTAGCGGCATTCGTCTATGTCTGCGGGTGGGAAGGATGGAAAGTGGAGTGGTCTGCATTTTCTCACGGGATACAAAGCAGCCAGCACACTGAGCCAACAGTACTGATAACACAGAAGTACCCCAGCACACTGGTCATGGATGTCACAGCCAAACTTCCAGGCATTCAGACATGGAGTTAGTTAAAATATACCTCTCCCCAGTAGAATGTGGTAATGTGGTTTTATCCACATCTGGCATCTACCAGTGTGTCTGATTAATTGATTGGCAGTGCTGTAACCTTCAGTTTAAATCAGGCAGCCCAGTTTGTTCCTTTAAGCAGCTCCCTCAAAGGATACCTGACAGCTGGCACAGGCTGCCAGCACAACCACAGCCAACATTGCAGCAAAATTTTGGCAGAATCAAAATAGAAACCTTCTTTGCCTCCATATATACCTAAGCCTCTCACTGCAACAGCAGTGCTTGTTACTACAGGCTTCTTTTTTGAGTGAGGATATTTTTGAAAGATTTTTTTCCAAGTAGTCACATTCTTTTTTTAATAGGAATTTTTAACTGACAAATTACAGACTGTATAAACAGTTTATTTAATGCCAAAATAGCAGTTTGGGCTAAATTGCAGCATTGGCAATGCATGCAACTGAGTGCTATAAGCACAAGAAAATGCTCTAAGATATGTAAGATAGTAAGTACTAGAAGATTTTTGCCTCAGAACTAAAAATTAAACTGAAGCACCTGGAATAGCTGTCTTTTCAAAGCCTTAACATTTTCTTGTTATCAGTCAGCTTTTGATTTATGGACATTTTTAAAAATGTCTGTGTTAATGCTTTGAAGCTAAATTTATGCAATAGAAAACCCAGTATACTATATGCAGTCAGCCAGATAACCTAAAGGTCAGGTCAGTGGTTATGCATACACCAGCAGCAGGCTTCACCAAATCCTGCAAAAATAACACGGGTTTTAAGTAAATTAATACCTCATTTACTGACACAGTGCATTACATTAAGTACATGCTTTGTCTTTTTGGGACTGTTATCTGAAGAGTGCTACATTTTGAGGATAAGGACCTCTACAGGGCTGCTTCTTGTGGGTGGGCCATGTGGATACTGCTGCACTGGCTTCTCTGTGTAAACTTTATAGGATTACTGCAACAGATAGAAGTGTAGATTTTTGTAATGGTGATTTACTAACAGTAATTGGTACTTCCACTGAATTCCACTGCACTATTAACAGTGCACCGAAAAAAATTGTCTCTAAACCCCAACTTGGCCTTCTGATTAAAGTATTACTTTACTGCTTTATGGCAGCAAAAATCACATCTCCAAAGCCAGTATAAAGTATGGAAAACTGAGACTTCTTTGAAATTTAGGGGAAAATATAGCAATTCCAACCACAATATGCTTTTTCTTTTTCACATAATCCACCCCATGATTACTTAAATAGGGCATTACTAGGATGTTATTCCCTATTTTAGATAGCATAAGCAGGTACTCAAATCAATTCATCAATGCAGCCATTTCAGTTCTCTGCTATAACCATCAAGCAGGAGAGTATTTTAGATCTGTGTTCAAATCCTGAATGCTGGATACAACCTTTTCAATTGGCCTATAACTGGGAGAAGGAAATGGGTAACAGAACAGGTGATGCAGAGCAGAATCTGCCTTCCTTCTCTGCTTCATCCCCGCCCTATCACATATTCCTGTACATTCTCCAGCACAAGCTTTGAGAAGTTGTTTTATCATAGATTAATGAGCAGGGGCCTTGGAGACTTCTTATCCCAGGGGAACTGCAAGACAGTGACTCCCTGAAGTGGCTATGACTGCACAGGCCCCAGATTGGACAGGGCTCAGCCTGGTGCCTGCCAGGTGAATTACACAGCAGCTGTCAGCAGCAGTTAGGAAAGCAGCCATGAATTCACGGAATTGGTACTTGGGAGGAGAAAGCTGGAAAATAACTGGAGATGCTACAGGGACAAATGGGCAGGGAAAGCCCATTCTCCTTCTACGGGAGATGTGACAGGATGGTCCAGCTCTGCAGAGCTGGCACCAAACAGCCTGCATTGCAGGGAAAAAACTAATAATGGGCAAATTTTCTTAAAAAAAAGTTGTATGCTGATTCCTAGGTCCTACCTGTGTACCTAAAATTAATATCTACATCGTCATCCCATGAGCACGTCAAGTGAAGGGAAAGGTCTGGAGGAAAGAAGAGATGGAAGGTTTGTTTTCCTGTGCTGTTTGTTGAGCAATGTTTTTTTAACAAGACTGAGCTAAAAGGATGAACAGGACATTGCTGCAAGGAAAATAATAAAATTGAAATAAAACTGCAGGGAAGATAGTGAAATGGCACCCAGTTCAGAGGTATTTTTTTTCCTCACCCCCAAACAAAAGAATTGTTTGACCTAGGATTTACTGTTAGTCCCATTTCTTGGTATCAAATACAGATTCCTTCAGGTCCACACTGTCACAGTAACGAAAGCACAAGTCTGTTTGGGCAAAAATCTTTATGCACACATGCTTGCAATTGATCTTACATGAAAGGGAATCCTTCAGACTGGCAATATGAAAAGCCCAGTTATTACACTATTATGATGCTAGTCATATGGGATTTACAGCTTACAATTTTCTGTGAGGGAATCTCTCTGCCAAACACCTCATTGGCACTTCCAGAGACAAAAGACAGTTTTCACATAGCTGAAGGTTTAACCGTGTCCTTGGCAAAAGTGCTTGGTGACTTTGATTCAGGGAGTCGCAGGTACACATACACAGACACTCAGATACTGTAGCAATTGAGGATTTTACCTAAACACTGGCCTTCTAACAGCCAGTAGCCTTCAGTGCAGGAACAGGTATAGCCCCCCTCAGTATTTATGCAGATCTGGGTGGGGTTACACTGGTGAGAATCTGAAGCACATTCATCCACATCTGCAACACAGAAATACAGAAAGAAAATGTTAGAAATAGCAACATCAAAAGATTTTTCATATTGTACAGTGTGTACACTGCCTCTGTGCAAGGAATCAGAATTTGCAGCAGTAGAGAGAATGACCATAACCTGAAGGAAAATCACAATAATAAATGTTTGAGGGCAGTGGCAACTGAGGATGCACATCAAATCTCAGTTTTGCAGGTGACCCAGTGTTTCAGTTTTTCTCCTCTAGGAAAGTCTCTCATTGTCTCGAACTTTTTGTAACTTCCACATTTGCTATGTCACTGAGCTGGGATTTCCATGCTATAGAGCAGTGTTCAGTCCTAGGGAGCGGCTGCTGAAAGGGTTGTGCTACCCCACTGAAAAGTAAGAGATGGAGGGGAGTTTGAGAGATGCACAAACACAACTCAGAGACATAAAAAAAAAACTTCCTACCCCCACCAATGCAGACCATCTCACTGTGATTTTTCAGACAGAAAGTTCAACCAAAAATCAATCTTTACCTGACCAAAAAAATGTATACTTCCCTGGAATCAATTTCCTGACAATAATAGTATTTTCTTTTAATTTCCACACCCCCCCCCCCCCCCCCTTTTTTTTTTAATTTCCCCCCCCCCCCCCCCCTTGTCATCTTTACTGGGTTTAATGTATTTGGGTTTTTATTGCAATCCCTTAGGGTGTTTTTGTTGTGGGCTTTTTTTTTCCCTTCTTTTTTTTTTTTTTTTTTTTTTTTTTTTTTTTTTTTTTTTTTTAGAGGGGGGAAAATATTTTTTTTTTTTTTTTTTTTTTTTTTTGCAAAGGAGGTGAATAGCATTCTTACATTTATATAAGCCAGGACTCTGGAACCTAACTGATTAAAAATGCCTTTGCCTTTCAGAGTCAGAAATTCATTTTGAATCACGCCTTGCTCAATATCTTTCCTGATGTTTCAGGTGTCAGGTTTGCCTCTAGATGTCAGAAATGGAAATGCCAAAAGATAAATTGTGTCATTTTCCTAGCCAACCTAAATTTTTATGTTTTACTTATTGATACCTAGACTATTTTTCATTCCAGCATACTGTGCACTGGCCTTTGCTGAAGCACTATGTCATCCTAGCAATGCTACTCCCTTGATCCTCCCCTGGTTCTTATTAACCCAGACTTTGTCAGGTCATGACTGAAACTATCTCACCAATGCCCTGGGCTGGAGCAGGCAGCAGAGGGCAGGAATTCCTCTCTGTATCTGCCCCCAGGCAGCCAGCACAGCCAGTCAGCTGTACAGTCCTAGCAGTCGTGAAATAACTGATCCAGTCTACCACAGCAGCATATCTAACATGTTCAGATACATAAATAAATACATACATATTATACATATGGAGGGAGTCTAGGGTTCTTATCTTGCCAGCATCTGTACCGGATAAATTTATGGTGAGTCAAAGCTGGTAAGATAACAAGTGGGGCACAATTAGAGGTAATTAACTCTGTCAGAATTCGGTTCCCATGTATTTATTGGCCAGATGAAGACTGGCGAAATGGGAAGTGGGAAACGGGTAAGATAACAAGTCTAGACTATATAGGTCCACAAATATGTTGTTCTGTTCAGCTAGTGCTTCTGCGATTGAGCTAAAAAATTTGGATCCTCCCTTCATAGCATATCACACATAATTGGTAGTATCTGAACAGAGATTTTATCTGACCATAAATTTAATAAAAATGACATTAATGTTTTCTAAATGAAAAAGCTTTCTATTTGTCATGCTTGCTTATTGTTTTAGGAGTGGTACCTTGGGATCTGGCCAATTCTGCTTTTTCTAGTCTGCACTCAGCTTAAAAAGGAGATTTTCATTTTCCATGTTCCCTGCTTCCAGTAATATTAATAGGTGAAGCAAAGTGAAAACAAAATGAGGGTCATAGTCTCACCACAAATGGTAGCAAGACAGTTTGAAGACATCAGATCCTCTACTCTTTTGAGGGGCATTTTTCTTGCAGGGGTTACAACCTCTTTCACTTAAAGCAACAGGTGGCTATGGGGTTGGTTTTGTTCCTAAATCATCCTTTTGGCAGCTGCTTGAGCTCCACTCTAGAGACATAAAACATTGATCCTCTTCCATTTGCTTTATAACAAGCATATTTATTTGCTTACCCCCAGTGTTCACCTTTTGTGGTGGTATTTGGAAGCATATTTCCATTTGAATGCAACATTTTTTTACGATGGAGGCCTCCTGTGGAGTTTCTGCCACAAACTCTGGCAGAATCTGATCTGATCTGATCTTCTATGCAGAAGTTGAAGCCAAGTACCTTGGCTCCTCACATTTTGCACTGAACAGCACCTTAGTGATGTCACTAAAGAAGTTTTATGCAATTAACAGTTGTAAATAGCTTTACTGGTAGCAGCAAATCTTTTTGATTGGGCCTGAGCATGCACACCCAGTTCTGTATTTCGTGTCTGGCGTTCTCTAAGATTGTCCCTACCATGAGGTGCCATTAAATTCTTACTGACATAGCCAATACAATCAAATAAAGTATATTTGGCAATCAGCCTTCACAGTTGAAATAGGTAGTATAATCCCAGGCTGTCTGCCCTGTATTATCCACATTATATGGGCTCACTAAGCAGGAGCAGATATTTGTGCACTGAAAAAACTATTGGTGCACCAATTGGCCAGACATTAGGTATCTTCTTCAAGGATATCAGACCTGGGAGACATAGGGTATCTTACCCAGCCCATTTGCACGGTGAAGCCTACAGTAAGAGCAGATGTGGTTGGTAAAGTCAAAACTAGACATTTGGCAGGGAAAACAAAAAAAACCAAACCAAACAATCCCAGATTATTTCCACTGGATAGAAAACTAGCCATAGAACTTCAAGAGATTATCTATAATGGATAGACATAGAAGTTATATTAAAATACTTCCAGGGCATTTTTGTTTGAATGGAAAATTGCAAGAGATTGCAAGTGGAACATGACAATCCATCAATAAGGCATGAATAATTTCTTTGTCTGGTTGCACAGCTTATTCTGTCCCATTCAAGCATAAATCTTAGGTGTCTTCATGCTGTGGGAGTTCAAAGCCCATTTGTACTACCTCTGCCTCTGTGATGGGTCATAAACAATAACTCGGCAAGCTAATTGCATATGATAAAAGATTTTCAATAGTTTTGTAGGTTCAAAGCAGATAAGACAAATTCAGAGAATAAAAAACTGTAAGCCCTACTCAATGCAAGGAAAGCACATGTGGCTCAGAAATCCCTGAGGAGTATTTTCCTGAAGTTTGGAAGAGTGTGTCTGACACAGCACAATTTATGTCACAGTCTTCACCATGGACAGAAATATTGCAATGAGTTGTTATCTGGGCCCCAAAGTAAAGTCTAATCAGTTGGAGAGCAGAAGAGTTATTAAAGGGGGGCATGAAACCCGAGAAACCCCACTGCCCTCCATTCAAGATGTTAACAAATTGTGATATTTGATGATCCCAGAAACAATGCCATGAAAGCATCAAATGCTGTCACCCATCACTGATAATCCAATGATGGTTTTTATTATACCAAGCATGCTTTTAGTATCTTTCATCACCAAGATCCTTAGAAAATCTTATCTGCATCCAAACAACAAGTCTAGTCTTTCATTATAGCTACTGTTAAGGGATACCTCATGTGATTTTGGCTAGATGACTCAGTATGTGGCAACAAAGAAGAATTGCCTTGAGGTGGACTGGGAAGGAAATACAAATTAGATTGTCCTCAGTGAAGATAGACTAAAGTAGCTGGTGGTTACTGTGCAGGACAAGGAGCCAACACAGGTACACTGACCACACTGTAGCTCATGGGCTGAGAATTTATCTTTTGGGAACTCTTCCTTGCTTTTCATCTTCCATCACCCGGCTTCCTATTTGAAAAGCAGGGATTACAAAATGCATAAAAATCCATTATCCCTGCCATAGTCCAGTCTCCCTCGCTGTTTAGTACTTAAAACTCTTCAGGATAGGGCTTGCCCTCTTATGTACAAAACCTGTTCACAGTGAGTCTGTTTGTATTTGATGCCTTCCAAAACTAATACAAATCAAAGTGGACTACAAAACCCTGCAATATCCCACTTGGTGATAAACACCAGTGCACAGGGATTTTAACGAGGAAATTCAAGATTAAGGAATTAAAGGACAAGCCTGTGTCCATTTAACAAAACAGAAACAGGAGCAGGTGACAGACCTTTCTGCCTTGTAGTCTCTCATGTACAACCTGCCCCTGTTATATGAACAATTCAAGATACCACTTTTTCAGAAATTTTATGCAGACTCTACATTGGCTAGTGAGACCTAAAATAAAATATTAACCATCATTCTGAAAGCATTATGTTCTACTATAGGACCTCAGAAGCATCAAAGTTTCTTTCAGTTAAATTCTACGGTACTCAGAATGTTGTTGTTCTACCCTAATGTTGCATGGAACCTCAAAAATTCCAGTAGTTACTGAAGCAGGAAGAGAATTATTGATGTAGTCTATGGCAAGTTAAAAGGGTTATCTGCCTTTCATACCTCTTCTTACCCTGACAGACAGGACTGTGAGTGTTGCTGTGAAATTACATATGAAAAAAGTGAGGATGTCAAAGGTTGTCATACCTAATAATTTCAAACAAATTCAGATTTTTCTAAATGACTAGTGACTCTGGGTGACTCCTTTGAGAGAGCAGTTGTTCAGCACTTTGTAAGCACATTAGAGAACCAAGGCAGGATAGATGGATCACTGTTCAAAACTTCTCTTGCTTGGCCAAAGGTGGTCCTAGTTGTTTCAGCTCTTGAGTATCCTGCTGTGTGCTATTAAATTAGTGGTCATCTATATTCTCTCACCCATCCTTCTAGTTGCTGTATTCACTTCTCTTATCCATCTTTCCAGTTGCTGTATTCTCATTACTGCTCTCACAGCTAATTCCAAAGGCAGAAGTTCAGGCAGGATTCCAGACAAATTAAAATCTGACTTGAAGTGGGAACAATTTACTTTGTTACTTCCCAGATGAATACA